AAGTTTGAGTATTTCTTCCCAGTGTTTGAACTTTATCATAACCAAAGTCTCGTCAAGATTTACTGCATTAGTTCTATGTCATGGAATAACTCAAGGTGATACGTTGTAATTCTTTTTTTTTCGTGCATGAACGTGACCTGTTTTCGCCACACATCGACACACATCTCCGTATATTGACGACACAGCTATCGTGTTCCCAGATCCAGATAAATTTGTATTTGCATTGAAGTATCTCTGCCACAAGACTTATTGTAAGTTGACTCACATTGATTCCATTTCGGATTCTCCGGTAGCTGATAACTATATAATGTCCATGTTCACTCGCCTACAGACAGTAGGCCTAACTACACACTCAAGACTTTAGGTAAGTTGGATGTTAGGGCTTTTGAATACGTGTATATCGCTAACTCTTTGTTTCTTCAGTTTCAACTTCTGTTAATTTGTGGCAGTTTGCACGCCAAACACAAATTATTCATAAAGAAAACTGCTGTTTTAGATATAAGGATAAACAATGTCTTCCTTTTTTTCAAGATCGGTGTTTGGACCTTCACCCATTTTGTTTGTCTTGCATCCCAATCCAGACTTTGGCTGTTTTGTTCTTTTCATCTGTAATCATGAAGTTTCTGCTGCTGTTGCTGAGCGTGGTCGTGGTCCATGCTAAACTGGCTCCACTGCATAGATCTAATCACCGTTCCGTTCCAGACAGCTGGATCATTAAAATCGAGGTGAGTTAAATAAGAAGAGGTCATCATCTGATCCATGTCCTTGTTTGGCTCATCGTCGAACCTTTTAATGTGCCACATCTAAAATCAATGGTTTTTAGGGGGCTTAGATTATTCCTAAATCCCTACAGAGCCGTGAAATTATGCAGAATCTAGTTAGGTTCAACATGGTCATAGTTATAGCTCTGATGAAAGAAAAACCTTCAGAATGCATTTGCCTTACCAATTGCTACGTCACCTGTGGCGGCTATTTAGTGGCACAAACTTAGAGGATTTCCATTTTGTTTTTAACACTGTAGGATTTCGACCAAGTGGACCAAGTTGCTGATGACATTGTCAGCCAGTTCGCTAGAATGCGTAGCCCAATCCCTCCAATGACCAAGCTCCGTCATGTTTTGCCTCTCATTGGAATGAAAATCCCATCATTCCTTCTCGACAAGGTAGCATTTCCATACCTTGCTCTCATTTTTCGTTATAAAGTTGCAATATTTTAAGTCTCATGTTGTGCTTTTATTCAAAGCTGCCACTAATTTGCATTAAGACATTGTGTTATGTAATCAATATAAATGTAAATTAAAGACGCGCGCTTGCTGTTACAGTCTGCCATCAAACTGACGCTGTGAAACACGGTATGATCTTGAATATCTTGGAAGTAAGACTCTTTATCTGTGAATAGTCTTAATTAACCATCAATCTCCAAAAATCCCTGAACTATCGCAGATCCGCGCTATTGACGGCATCGAGTACATTGAAATGGATTATATCGTTCCGCTTGCTGCCTCCCAATACAACCCACCATGGAATCTCGACCGTACTGATAGTCGCCTGGGAATGGATGGATTTTATAACTACAATGCTAGTGGTAAATCAGGTTTTAAAAGAGAGCATGAATATGGCTTTGTATTACACACGACCCCACGGCCAGTGACTATGGCTTGGCATTGCACGCGACCCTACGACTAGTGACTATGGCTTGGCATTGCACGCGACCCTAGAGGTAATGGCTGTTCCACATAAAAGACAGCCATCACAGCTTCCTGTGTAGAGGGCAAGTTTTTACACTCGATCACAAGTAGCCTAGGTAACTGGTAATGACAGCCATAGTGGCCAGCGATGAAGTCGATCTGGTGATGGTCTTTTCTAAATCTCTTTTCTTACTGTACATAGACCGGCATGCTCTCATAATAGCTGTCGCCTTGAGATGAACTATTTCCATGGAAAATTCTGTATTTCGTGGATAATTCCAGACAAAAACTGAAATCATTCTTTTCTTTCTGGCACGGGTAGAATTTTTGTCCGCATTTTAAACACATCTTATACGTTCAAAGACATCTGGGTGGCTTTCCTATAGAGTAAGATTTTTCCTTTCCTATTTAGTGCAAGGAAAGGGGGTGGACATTTATCTTATTGATACCGGGGTCCAACCCAACCACGTAGCCTTTGGCGGGAGAGTTTCTCTGTTATACGGAGCGAAAGACAACGACGGTCACGGAACCCACTGCGCCGGCATAGCAGCCGGTGACGTCTACGGGCTGGCTCGTGAGGCTAACATCCTCAGTATGAAAGTGTGCAATCCCATGTGCGTGACGTGGAAAATGCTTGAATGTAAGTCTTGTCAGCCTATATTGCTCATTTATGAAAGGAGAACACCAAGAGGAAACTTGAAATTTCGATTGTTAATTAGGGCGTGATGACTGTTCGACAAGCAGTTACATGGTTGTTGGTTCTTTGTATTTTAAGGTTTCGACTTAGTGCTTACACACGGTGGCAGTAAAGGCGGAGTTGTGTCTGTGTCTATTGGTGGAGACCCAAACTACCAAGTTGTCACCAATGCTGTCAATAGACTGTGGCATGGCGGTTACCTCGTGTCTTGGGCTGCGGGCAATGAAAATATGGACGCGTGCAGATTGCACCCACAGCGCGGCAACAACGTGAGTATTCAGAGAAGCATTCTTCACTTGTTTCAGTAGAAGGGATGATAAACTCTTAACGGTGGTAAAATAGTTAGCATTATTCCGTGTTTTGCGATTTTTATAGACGCGTTTTGTTTGCTATTTTTCACTCGACGTGTGACTTGGGTGGCCAGTACGTGAATGCCTTGTAAACCTTAACCTTGGTCCTGTGAACACCAGAACGAAAGAAAATAGTGATTTACCAGTATAATTATTTTCATGTTTCAGCTTATTGTAGCAGGGGCTTCAAACAAATACGACGGGCTACCAGGCTTCACGAACTGGGGCCCCTGTGTCGATATCTTCGCGCCCGGTGGGGACATCCGAAGCGCTCGCTACAGCGAACATAGCAATACCGATTCAATAGTATATTCTGGCACCTCAATGTCCGCCCCTCATGTGGCAGGTACGGTGAGTTTTTTTTTTTAAATGACTAAAATAGCTTTTTCCAGTTGAAATAATGTGAACTACCTGCTGGATTTGACTGCTGCTAGTTGCTGGTAAATTGGGGTCAAAAGGATGTAAAATATCCAGGTTCTCGGAGGTTAAGGTCTTAACTTGGATTGTTCTCCAAGATTTATAAGCATTCCGGTATTTGTTTGTAGAAATCTGCCGACATTGTGCTTGTTCTAACTACAGGTAATTAGAATCAATCTGTGAATACTTGTGTAAGCCTTTACTGTTTACATTTATAGGTTCGGCAGCCCTGTACTACGGTCTTCAGGGTAGCAGTGCCACGCCTGCATCAGTGAAGAAGGCCATTCTGGACAGTTCTACCAAAGACGCCCTCTCTAATACCAAAGGCTCCCCTAACCGACTTCTTTATGTCAATGTAAGTGTCCACCGTACTTTCTAGAACGGTAGTTCATTCGTTACAATGTTAAACGGCATTGTTTGAAAATATTTTAGCTGTTTTTAAAGGAGGGGAAATTTTTCTTTTGATTCTAACCATTCTAGTTTACCTCTTTCAACAACACTCTTTACTGCGCATGTCTTTCCTGCAAATTTTCTTCTCTGATTCATTGTTCAGATTTTGTAACAATACCTTGTAATCTGTTCCTCGTAGCATAAGACCAGCAAAATAAACATTAACATTAATGTTGTTTTATTACAGTTCCTAACTAATCCAGCCACTCACCAGAAGATAGACAAAGACGAACCTGCCAAGTAAAGTAATTCCAACACAGGTAGACTCTTTTACTTGTCTACCCGTATACCAAACGTTATTTTTCTTTTAAAATTCCAATTTAAAAATTGTTTTAAAGCTCTCGATTGTTTGGGTTTTTTGAGTTTTTTGCTTTTGCTTGCGTGCTTCCTGTTCAATACATTCAAAACTTTTTGAATTCAGCTTTACTGATAAAATTATTTTTCACCTATTTATCTTCAGCTCATGAGGAGAAATTTTCTGGCGCAATAAATTGCAACGCCAAAAATTTTCATCAGTGTTAACAGAAGCATCTTTGTCCTGTTTAGTTTTTTCTCTTAAATCTTCCCTCTTTCAGCAAGTTTTCTCTCAACCCTAAATCCCTAGGGTGTGTGCAAAATCATATTAAAATTGGAGGATTCAGGACTGTTAGGGTTAAGTATTTAAATCCTGAGGAAATGTCAGCTCTCAGTTTTAAAGTTTTAAGAAACTTACTGACTGAGGGTGACGATGATTTATAATTGTATTAATGCCTATAATTAACAAATGAAACATTTGCATGTTACTGTTAAGTTTTGGATTTGAATAAATAAATGAATTTTCTTTCTCTTGCAAAAGATTAAGTAGGCCCTACCAAAATAACACGAACCTATAATGTTTTGTTTGTATGTCTCCCTTGAATTATGTACAAATGCAAATATCTGAAGTTACCGCTCGACAGTTGCAACAGAACACCCCACATTTTCAGATGTAGTCCGGCCCAAGACGTCTTTCGCGGTGCTTCGATATGTGCAGGGTGTGGCACGCACATAATGCAATTCCACTGTGACAGCGCCCTCTTTTGACGTGTACCAGCTGCTAAAGTACGCACATCAGCTGAGTTCGGGCGGTTTGTTCTCCTATGTTAACGAACAATTCAATTATTTTGTTGAACGCGGGTCGGCAACTCGAACGCCAGGAGCATACAACCGGTTTCGATGGTAGTTAGTGGCAAGCAACACGCAACATGGCAGCGTCGCTGCACGTTCGTCGAGGGTTAATTTTTGGATAGGTCCTAATGGGCTGAATCTTTTCTATTTCAAATGAACTTTCATTGCTTTGTTATGGAAAATTATAATTAATGTCACTTTTGCAAACTTTCCCACTGTCTCTTGCTTTGTAAGCCATTTTGCTATTTCTGGCAGCTGTTCAACTATGAAAATCTCACGAGGATTTCCGTGTGTTCCTGTAAAACCCTAGCCTTTCGTCGAGGTCTTCGTGGCTGTGTGTGTGTGTAACTGCAAAGCGACTGGACAGGAGACTAGGCGGGTGGCACAGCCACGAGGCCTTTTCCAACTTGATTTTGAGGTTTTATGTTGAATTATTCATCAGCTTTCTGATATGCATTATTCATAATTTCATGTAAATGTTGAAAGCTGATGAGTCTCCGAAATAACTGCGGCATCACTCCAAAGCTTACGCAATTTTTCTATCTGTTTTTTTCTTGAGGGCAACAAGCGGTGAGATGTGACAAGTATGATGCTTGTTGGTTGGCGGTGGTGCTGACGTTGGAGCAACACTAGCAAGTAGCAGTTCATCAAGGCCGAATGGTCAAAGCAAAACGGCAGTGCTTGAAATATTGGAGCTCATATTCCGTGGGTAGAGACGAAAACGTCACACCCGCGTACAAATACTTCAATAGCCCAACGCTGCAACGGTTTAAACTCGGCAAAGTGAAGTTTTCCAGCAGCATATTCTAAAGAATTGTCCAAATACTGCACAGACAACTGACCTGCACTCTCGACACACTTGACACGCTCGCCATCTTTCGTATACTTTCAATTTTGCATGATAACTTAATGTGTGCTGACCCCATCGCTTATGATTGGTTGAGATTTTTGCTACCCCGTTGGGTAGCAAAACTCGAAAACATACAGAAAAACATAAATTCCTGACAAGTTGGAAAAGGCCTCGTGGCCGCACCACTCGAGCTTGTGGTCTCCGGTCCAGCCGTTTTGCAGTTACAAATAAACACAGCCGCGAAGGCCCTGATGAACAGCTACTAAAACCTTGACAAGGAGGTGGTGTTTGACCCTGTTCGGAGAATAGGGTTCTTGAGTCGTGTTCCCTCTAACGTGAGAACAAGAAACCCAACCTCGACCCCATTGTACGATGAGCATGTTCACTCAGACGTGATACGAGTTGTTCGATCGTTGATGAGAACGCCCTCAACTGTACTGTAAATTTTGCAGCAAGTACGCGCCGTTCCCGATGGGTGCAACCCTAAAAATAAATTCCCATAGACACCAGTGATAAATCCCTGTACTTTACTTTACAAAATTGTTTTAAAATTATTCACAGCACTCGCAGGTGTTCATTCCGGCATAAAAATGATGTTCGACATGTCCTCTTTCATTTTCTTTTCAATTTTAAAGTGGGTTGACTAATGAGTGTTTGAGAAATTCTCACCCGAAGCAGGCCACCCCTTAAATGAAGGAAATTTCACTACCCGGGAAAGTAGCCATTTTGGAAATGCTTCTCTCTGCAAAACAAATAAATAGTAGTGTTGTATTCGAGAACACTTAAGACCTTCGCAAGTCCTCTAGACTGAATTCAAGGCGTAAGCTATACTGCTAAATAGATCTGAGTCCGGGCCAGAGGTTTGTTGTCATATTTCTTCAATTTCCCAATTCCATGGCTCACAGGACGCTCAAAGTATGTAACTGTTTTTAATAAACTCGCCCGACATGTTCTCTAGTAAATACAGAGGCGCACCCCGCTCTATTTGCAGTTACCTTAGGAACAACCACTGAGAACGTCTTGCAACCAAGACTGTTTCGGATGCTACCCATAACAGATGAGATAACTTTCCTACCAGTCATTCAGTGGTTGAATTTGTTCATCAAAACTCTTTGTTGGTCAGTGGCATATCCAACGTGGGGGAACTTTTCCCACCCTGACGGATTTTTTTTCAACTTGAATACTTCCTATGAGGAAAGAAACTGATCCGTGCATTTATTTATTTATTTATGAAATAGACTTTTTTTCTCCCACTATCATGTTGAATAAACTCAAAAGTGCATTTGCTTTTGAATTTCCCCGACTCAAAAAGCTGTATACGACATTGTTGTTCGTGAAGACAGTTGCAGTAAATTGGGATTTACTGTGATGCAGAATGTAGTCCTTATGGTGCCCTTTCTATCGTAAAATCTTTTACCACGGTATAAAACACCAATTGTTGGTTGTTGTGACGTGTTCCATGGGTTTTTTACACACCCAAAAAGGCCCCCTCAGCTTCGCCTCGGATGAATTTTCCCTCTCAGGTGTAAGAAACATCATGGCCCTGTTCACAGCAGGCAACAATGGTGACACACTCATCGATTGTGACAACGCACAAGTAAGTGCGGTACCACCACAAAATGGTTTAATTTCACTAAATGCTGAAGTGGAATTAAATAATCCTGTGCGAGTTTTACTAAAAAAAAACTCGGTCTACCAGTCTTCAGTTTGCATTACAAGACGTAGCTGTATCTAAACAAAAGCTATCAACTTCTGTCCCTCGTCACCGCTACAGTGGAGATAAAATTAATGAACATGCTGCCAATCACATACAGTCTCTTTCTCACATTTAACTTCATTTTCAGTTTTTGATATTCTCGCTGACAGCCCAAGTCAAGATATAACCTATTTTCTCATGAGAATTCAAACATCCTAATCTTTGTACTGTTTTGCAAATAACCTTTACACAGACATCAGTGAACTTTTCTGTTGGTTGTTTTTTCTCGATAACCTCAAAATTGTTGTCAATCAACAGTGACGTCTGAAAATTCCATTGAGCATTGGTCTCCTTTTAACTGCATTACACAGCTAGGGTCGAATTAAGTTTCTTTGTAGTATTTCTTTGCTTTCATGACTTCATGTGTCATGCCAAATAACAAATAAAACGTGGTTAGTGTTTTAATGAGGGTCACACGCCAAGTAAAGGCTTGGTCATAAAATGTAAACTAAATAACGAATAAGTGATTTGCAAATGAGGACTGCGTGTAAACTGGTTCTATAAAAGAACCGGTTGATTTTGCAGCAGATGATCTGTGTCACGGATTTAATTCATTCCATATTCCAGTTCTACGATCATGATGTAAATGTGTCTAAAACTTACCCCCAAATAAACTGCAATGCCCGCTCGCGCCTAGCCATGCTGTTTTTCTTTAATTCGTCACATTAAAACGAGGCATCGTTTCCACCACTTGTCTGCAGCTGCTTTCTCTCAGAATACAGGGTGTCATTCAGCGTCTGTGGCTACGCATGCGCAGTAGCCTTCACTGTGTTGGCAGCTCTCACATTATGCTAGGAGACGACACAAGGCGATATTTTCCCCGTCGGGGAGTCAATAAAGTTGGCGCGGTGTTTCTTTCCTTGCCTTTCCACCTCTGGGGGCCTGGGTTCGAATTCGGCTCGGTCCACATTTGGGACTGGGTTTTCAGTCCCTACCCGAGTCAGTGGGTTTTCCCCAAAACATTTTTCCCGGATTTTCCTCCTACTTCTAAAACTAAAACTGAACATTTTTGCAAAGAACCAGGCCTTGTTCACAGTCTTAAAATCAACAAAACCATATTGCATCCTTGCTGTACAGTGGATCCCCAAAGAAGCAATATTTGACGTTTTACTCCTCTTTCCTATTGCAGTGTTGCCAAATCTCTCAGTTGGAAACTTCAAGTTCATTCAATTGAATACTGTTGTTTTAATTACCAATGATTGTATAGCGCTGTTTAGCTGCGCGGCGCTATACAATCTTTGACTTTTTCCTTCATAAGACACATCAGTGTCCAGGTTAAGTCCCAAATTGTAAAATGGAGGCGTCCAGAAACTGGGTACCAACTCAGTTTGAGTGTTCCCAAAGGTATTTACGTCGTCTTTTACGGAGTAAACTCCATTCTTTTCGTGCACAGCACTACTTTCCATAGAGGTACTGGGAAACAGTCACAGGAAAACACGGCATACGTCCTAAATAGCTAGAAAGACATCACCAAACCAGATGGAAGATTCTGTTTAATAAGTTGATATAGTAACTAGTGGCCAAGGTCCAGAAATAAGTTAACTTCCTGGATCTCCAACAGGCTTTTTGTTCATTACCGTTTTGAAAGGTTAAATTCAAACTGATATCAACAATAATTTCATTTGGTTTTGCCATGAATAACCTAAAAATGTTGCTAAGTAACAGTGACGTCTGAAAGTCAGATTAAGTTTAAAGACTTTGTTCCTTGTATTTGAACTTTATCAGAACCATTTTGTATTCTCCGGTAGCTGATAACTATATAATGCCCATGTTCACTCGCCTACAGACAGTAGGCCTAACTACACACCCAAGACTCCAGGTAAAAAGTTAGATGTCAGGGCTTTTGAATACGTGTATATCGTGTCTTCAGTTTCAACTTCTGTTAATTTGTGGCAGTTAGCACGCCAAACACGAATTCTTTATAAAGAAAACTGCTCTTTTAGATATAAAAATAAACATTTTCTTTTTTCAAATCGGAGTCGAGACCTTCACCTATTTTGTTTCTGCTACGTCCCAATCCAGATTTGGGCTTTATGATTTCTTCATCTATAATCATGAAGTTTCTGCTGCTGTTGCTGAGCGTGGTCCTGGTCCATACTGGACTGGCTCCACTCCATAAATCAAATCACCGGTCTGTTCCCGACAGCTGGATCATTAAGATCAAGGTAAGTTAATTAAGGTTGACTTTATAATGTGCAACATTTTTGTCCTTGAAGAGAGTTACCAACACATTAATGCAGGCCCGTTGCCTGACCAGAGACGGGGGGGTTCGTCAAACCCGAAAGTGGAACTTTAGGCACTGTGAACACATATTTTTATACAAAGACCTATCGCAATGTGCTTTGGAAAACAACATTGAAAAGTTGTATGTCTGTCGCTAACCAAAGGTTGCATGTAAGACTTGTACACTGTAATTTTCAATATTGAATAAACTTAACAAATATACATTGATTTCAAACACTGATATTTGCCGGAACATTTTGACGGTACATATGACTAGAGATTCATTCATTAATATGCAGAATCGTGGTCTCTTGAGCTTGAGAATCAACGTATAAGCCGTAGCTTGAACGCCAAATATACGGTATATTTAAAATATTTGGTACACAAAAAAGACCAACAAGCGGAACTCAGAAGCGAGCGGGGGAGGGTTCGTTCGAACCCCTCTAACCATCCAGCCTACGGGCCTGTAAAGATAAAGCATAGTGCCCCCGGAGTTGTAGACTCCAGTCACTTGACTTGGACTCGAGTTGCTAGTTTTGTGACTCGTGACTTGACTCGCAACTATCAGTTTTTGACTTGTGACTTGACTTGGACTTGCACATTATGAATCGTTACCACCTCTGGTGCCCCCTGTTGGAAAAAGCAGTGGTCCGCAGGGGACCACGGGCTAACCGTATACGCTTAGAGACAAGCAAAATTATGCAGAATCTTGCTGGATTCGACACGGGTCACAGCTAAAGTTCTGCTAGAAGAAAGTTCTTCAGAATGCATTTGCCTTACAGATAGATAGTAAGTGGCACAAAACTTAGAGGATTTCAATTTTGTTTTTTAACACTGTAGGATTTCGACCAAGTGGACCAAGTTGCTGATGACATTATCAGCCAGTTCGCTAGAATTCGTAGCCCAATCCCTTCAATGACCAAGCTTCGTCATCTTTTGCCTGTCATTACAATGAAAATCCCAGCATTCCTTCTCGACGAGGTAGCATTTCTATACCTCTCTCTTATTTTTCATTACAAAGCTTGAGTTTTGTAAATCTCACGTTATGCTCTTATTCAAAGTTACCACGAAGTGCATGCCAGTCTTGGTGTTAGAGACATTGTGCTATGTAATCAATATAACATAAAGTGAGAGCGCGCGTGTGATTGCAGTCTGTGACGGTTGTAAGAATGCACAAAACATAATTCATATGAAACATTCTGTGATCGATAAGAGCTTTTAAAGTATAAATTCACTTTATCTGAGTCTTAACCGTCAATATTCAACCATCCCTAAACTATCGCAGATCCGCGCCATTGACGGCATCGAGTACATTGAAATGGATTATATCGTTCCGCTTGCTGCCTACCAAAACAATCCACCGTGGGGCCTTGACCGCCTTGATAGTCGCTCGGGAGTGGATGGATTTTATAACTACAATCCTAGTGGTAAGTCAATCCGAAAAGCAGCAGAAGGGCATAAAATGATGTTAAAACTTTCAATGCGTCCTAAGAGCCCGTTATATTTTTGCGGTTAGTCATGCATCTTTTGAGAGATAATTTTCTTGAGTCAGCCTGTAGCGGGCATTTGTCACTTTCCTCATGACACTCCAATAAAGGATGTCACATTTATCTGTAAGCACAGTAGAAATATATCTCTTTTGCCAGCACCAAATTACAGGAAACCGTGTATGGTTAATATCCGATCAAATGTGTTCCAAAATTTGTAAAAATAGGCTGTGTCTGAATTTCGTGGCTTGGGTTTAACATTATACAGGACCTTACAGGTAATTGAAAATGCAACAGCACTTTAATGGAACGTTAAGGCCACATCTCATTCGTCCGAGGGCTTTGGGGTCACCTTTCTATTGTGTAGAATTATTCCTTTTCTTATTTAGTGCAGGGAAAGGGAGTGGATATATACGTTGTGGATACCGGGGTCCAAGTCACCCACAAGGCCTTTGGCGGGAGAGCCTCTGTGCTGTACGGACTGCCAGACAACCGCGGTCATGGAACTCACTGCGCCGGCATAGCAGCTGGTGACGTCTACGGGCTGGCTCGTGAGGCTAAAATCTACAGCCTTAAAGTGTGCGATCCATGGTGCTCAGTAGGGGATATGGTTAAAGGTGAGTCTTGTCAACCTATGAAGAAAAATTACCTGAAGGAAAAGCTGAAATGTCGATTGTTAGTTAGGGTTTGGTAACTGCTTGACAAGTACTTCGGTTAAAGCTGGTTCCTTCATGAATTGAAATATGGTGTTGTTGTTTTTTTCATTCAAGCATTTAACGTTGCAAAGGCACACGGTGGCAGTAAAGGTGGAGTTGTGTCTGTATCTATCGCTGGACACAAATACGCCGGTGCTCTCACCGATGGTGTCAATTTACTGTGGGCTAACGGTTACCTAGTGTCTTACCCTGCGGGCAATGAGGGTATCGACGCCTGCATTATGCATCCACAAAAAGGTGACAAGGTAAGCTTTTAGAAGAATTTGTATTTCAAGCTTTCATATTCAAGCAGGGATGCGAAAGTGTTAAAGGCCGGGGAGAGGTTACATTGATCTCTAATGGGCCCATTGATTCATGTTTTACTACTTAGAGACCCATTTATTATGCGATATTTAACATTCGATGGTATAAGGATCCCGCATGATGCCACAGTTCCGTGGCCAGTAATTGAATGCCTTATGAAGCTCACGAAACGACAGAAAATTGTAATTTACCCGTATAACTCTCTTCTTGTTGCAGCTCATTGTAGCTGCAGCTTCAAATAAGTACGACAAGCGACCAGGCTGGTCCACCTGGGGCCCCTGTGTCGATATCTTTGCGCCCGGCGTGGGCATCCTAAGCGCTGCCTACAGCAAGGCCAGCAATACCAGTTCAGTAGTCATGAGTGGTACCTCAATGTCTTGCCCTCATGTGTCAGGTACGATGAGTTTTAATAAACACTTAGTTTAAAAAATGGGTTTTGGGAGTTAGAATGGTGTGAAATATCTGCTAGGTTTAACCTTTGATGGTGGTTTCGCCTCTCACAATTGTTGAATATCCTTCACGGACATTGTTATTAACCTTGATTGTTAATCCAAGATCTACACGTATGCCGATAAATTGTTTTAACTGCTACTTTTTGCAGGAATTCTGCCAATAACGTTCTTTGTTGCTTTCCATATGTTTTCAGAACTGTTCAGCGAACTATTAACCTTTACTGTTTACAGGTGTGGCTGCCCTGCATTTTGGTCAGCAGGGTAGCAGTGCCACGCCTGCATCAGTGAAGAAGGCCATTCTGGACAGTGCTACCAAAGACGTCATCAGTAACGCCAATGGCACCCCTAACCGACTTCTTTATGTCAATGTAAGTCTCACATGTAGACTCATACTGTCTCCAATGATTGTGCATTCGTTACAATATTAAAAGGGCAATCTGTAACTCTAGCGATGGCTGCAAAGGAAGGGATTATTTTCTATTGAGAGTTCTCTATTATTTATTTCAAGTATTTCTCTACTGTGCATGCCTGTATTTTTCTTCTTATTGTTCAGAATATGTAACAATAGCTTGTAAACTGTGCATCGCAGCATAAAACCAGCATAATAAATGTATACCATAAATGTTCTCCAATGTTTTATTACAGTTCTAAGCGATGAGTGCAGCCACTCGCCAGGAGAGAGAAAAAGGTGAACCTGCAAAGTATCATTAATTCCAACTAAGGTAGATTCTTCCATTGGTCTGCTCATACACAAAACGTAATTTTCCTTTTAAAATTCAAGTTTAAAACTTACTTTAAAGCTTTCAAATGTTTTCTTCCGTGTTTGTTTGTGTGGGCATCCTATTCAATACATTAGAAACGTTTTGAATTCATCTGCACTGACAAAATAACCTTGCGCCTATCTATCTTCAGTACATGAAGAGAAATTACTGGCGCAAGAAATTGCAACACTACAAAAGGTCATCAATGTTAGTAAAAGCATCTTTGTCATGTTTAGTTTTTTCTCTTAAATCTGCCCTCTTTCAGGAAGTTTTCTCTTGAACATTTACATTTTCAAGCAAATACCAAGTTTCAGTTTCAAAGTTTAAGAAACTTATTGACTGAAGGTGACAATGCTTTTTAACTGTATTTGCCTATAATAAACAAATGAAACTTTGCTTTAAACACTGTTAAGTGTCGAATTTGAATGTCTAAATGAATTTGTTTTCTTCCTTTGTTGCAGAAAATTAAGTACCAAAATCACATGTACATTTACCTTTCATTCTTTTGTTGTCCGTCAAGCAATTTCTCCCTTGAATAATGTACAAGTGTGAAGATAGGAGGTCACCGCTCAAGAGTTGCAACGGAAGACCAAGTATTTTCAGATGTTACCCATAACAGATTGGATAACTTTCTGGAAAAAATTCTTCAGAAATGTCAAGACAAGAAATGATATACTCCAACCAATCATTTGATTCGGTTGAATTTGTTCAACTAAACACTTTGTTGGTGAACGCAGTTTCAGTGAAATGAAATGCATTGTGGTGCAGGATACATTGTTCACATGCGTTCGTAAAATCTGTTACCGCTGTATAACGAATTAATTGTTGCCTTTTGTGACGGTTCCACCCCAGTGGAACTTTTACAAGTTCTTATAGTCGTACATTAACTTTTACAGCTCTTGCCTGCTGTGTAGGGGTCCATGGTGTTTTGCACACCCAAGAGGCTGGTGGCTTCCGAGGCGGAACATACACGCTCGTCAAGTGTGAGAACGCGCGAGTAGGTGTTGCACAGGGCGTTATCACCACAATGCGTGTAATCACTAATATAATCTAGATGTCTTCAATTTGCAGCACGACTTAGCTTAAGTAAACAAAAGCAAAATATCAGCTTCTGTCCTGCGACATTGTTACAGTGGAGACAAACAAACATGCTGCCTATCACTTTGCCGTCCTGTCTCCTTCCCACCATGACTTTGTATTGAATGGGTTGATATTCTAGCCGATAACCGATTTTCTAGGAGAATTTTGAGGAGGCCCATCCTGACTAGTTAGTGTTTTGCAAGTAATATTGATATTTTCTGTTGGATTTGCGATAACCTAAAAATCGTTGCTAAGTGACAGTGAAGTCTTAAACACAGAAATTAATCTAGTTGAGTATTTCATTTCTTGTTTTCACAACGTCGCATCAAAGTTCTCTGTATCAGTTTCTCGCTGGTATAATATCAAATATGGAGCAGAATAACAAGTACGCGTAGTATTGTTTAGTCTTTTCAATGAGATTCAAACGCCTTGGAAATAGAATTACTCATGAAATATAAAATGAATATAATTGAATAAGTGATTTGCAAATAAGGACAGCTTGTAAATGTTTCTGTGTGAAGACTGGGTTGATTTTGCAGTGGATGAAAGGAATTAAAACAGACTCGCGGACTTCACCCTAACAGTCCTCAGCCCTCCAATTTCAATATGATTTTTACACACCTCATAGGGCTTCGGGGTAATCAGTACATGTACCAGATCTACAGTGCCACTCATACACACGCATGCCGAGTTCTTTTAATTCAGTTACATCAAAACACGGCATCGTTTCCATCACTAACCTGTCTCGGCCCATAAGGCTGGCTGTTATTCAGTTTGCGTGGTTACGCATGCGCATTGGCCTTCACTGTGCAGCTCTCGAATTACGCTAGCAGACGACGCAAGGCGATATTTCCTGCATTGGGGCCCTATAATAAAAACTGGCCACTTAATAACAAGCCCCACAGTCTTCAGTATTTAGAGAGTTCCTGATATTTTCTTCGTGTGTATCCCCTTGGGAACACTCCAACTGAATTGGTGCCCAATTTCTGGACGTCTCCATGTTTAAAATTTCGGACTTAAAGTGGTTTCCTGTGGTTGGGCCATTAATGCTGATGGCAAAACTGTATGGCAAACATAACTGGGTACTACCACCATTACTGTATAACCACCTTGACTACTCAAGTTCCCAAGACGGGCGATTCCCAATAGTGCGCCTCCAAGAGTGTGTGATGCATTGGCCAATCACAATGCGCGGAAGCGGCCCTTTCCAAACGCACTTTGGGTCAACAGATTTCGCACATCGTGATTGGCCAAAGCGTGGCAAACTCTTGGAGGCGCACTATTGAAAATCGTCCGTATTCAAGACAGTTGTTGTAAATTTCCAGCTTGCTTTTGATTAAAGCATACAGTATTAAGGCAGGACATGCAACCTTAGCGCGTGTAACAAGTTTCACCCCCCCCCTTTCGGTCCACCCCTTTAGGCCTATTTACAAGTATTATGCGCACTACAACTATCTTGCTACCCCCGGAATACAAAATAGATCGTGCCAAACGTTTTGGAGCAATCGTGTACACGTGATTTTGCGGTAGTTTTGTTCCAGCCATTCCAAATGAAGACGTAGGCAGCGTTCAACCTGTCTGAATGCCTGTCGTCGTATAACGTAAGTTTCTTGTCTTACCATTACATGGTAATTGGTGTCCATTTGTTAATGTCATTGTTAACATTGTGTGAAAAAATGTTACTATTAGTCGAAAACGGTTGTGTGTGCATTTACTGTGATCGGAACATTCTCTGATCGAAAAGGAAAACGCAGCGAATATTTTGAGTGCATGAGAGTGGAGCTGAGTGTGACAGAGACCGGTGTTAATTTGCCTAAAGCGTGGCAAACTCTTGGAGGCGCCCTGCCTGATGCAGCAGGGTGCCGTAGGCAAATCGATGGAAGCTTTCACCGATTGGCCTGATTCGCCAGTTTGGCAAATTAAGCGCCAAAAACGTTTGTCCTGGCAACGACAAAAATCACCTTATCGGTGCTGTATACCACACATTCCAAGAACTAAGATGAAGATGAAGAAATTAACGTTAGTTCTATGTTTCCCTGATTTTCCATCTCGTGAAAATTAAAAGGTTTAAGGAATTTGATTCTGATCGTTTTCTTCTCAACAAAGAATTTAGGTTCTTGAAATAACATTATGAATGAAGTGTATCCTTCACACCGAATCCAAATATATTTTTGACAATACTGAGCTTGATATCTACAGTTTGGTGCAAGTGAGGATTTGCATAATGGCATATACTTACAGAAAATTGTTAGTTCCTCATCAAGCTGGATAAATTGAAATTGTTGAGGAAAACCTGAATCTCGTAACAAATATTGAAGTTGAGAAGTTTGATTCAAGACTCGAGATCTTTGTAAATATTGGTAATAGTCTAATTTGGTATAGATACTTAAAAACTGTATTATTTCCTTGTTTCTGTCGTCATTTCTTTCTGCCTTGAGCTTTAAGTTTATTCATCCAGGGTCAGCACTTGCTAAAAGTTCAGGAACCTGAAGTTAGTGATGACAGCACGAAAATATCGTCGTGAAGGCCTTACCGAGAATCAACGTAGATATAATGTGGGGTTGTTAAATCGTGATACGCGAGGGCGATGCACAAAACAAAATAACCAAATGTACATGTGTGCGCCGTTGAAGTCGTTGGATGTGTGAAAAACACAAAAAAATTACCTTTCTCTTCAACAGGACATTTTGCTCATATAAGAGTCATTCAACAAGTTGTTTATATTCTTTAGTTTTTTATTGTGATAGGTTTTTGCTCAGGAAAACTGGAGAAATATGCAGATTTCCCTCAAAACAATCTTTTTTCAATTGTATCAATGACGTTTGCAGCAAATGTCGCTTGTCAAATCAAAAATAGGGTTACAGATATTCCTCTTCTTTGAAACTATTCTTTCACGGAGTAAACTTGAAAGACAAAAATTCATAACAGTCACAAAAAACGAACAAAGTCTTGAAACTAGATTTTAGAAGCAATACGATTCTGTATTATAACTGATAGTCGGGGTCAAGAAAGAAACCAACTTACTTGCGGGATCTTAAACAGGTCGAGCATTTTGTTAATTACTATTTTACAAGTTGTTTGTCAAACAAATATTAATAGTTTCAATTGATTTGGCATGGATTACATTAAAAATGTTGCTAAGTAACAGTGATTCAAACGGAAGTCAAGTTGAGTATTTAGTTCCTTGTTTTTGAACCTTATCATAACCAAGTTCCTGTGAAGTTTTACTCCATCTGTTGTGTCATGGAATAACTCAAGTGATGGCCTACGTGCCTATTTCTTTTTAGAAGTTTTGTATGCATGAACATGACCTTTTTTCGCACGTTATCTACACGTCTCCAGATATTGGAAACACAGTGTGTACCCAGAGTTAGATAAATCTTCCTTTGCATTTAAGTATCTCCACCATATGTCTTTCCGAAGTTGGCTCACATTGATACCAGTGTTGTGGTCACTATTATATACCGATGTTCACGCACCTACAAGCATTAACCGCATTTGTAAGAGCTCAGGCAAGTCTGGGCCTTTGTTAATACATCGATATTGCATTGAGTCCGCCCTATGGTTCTGTTTGGCCTCTGTTTATTTGTGCCACTTGTCATGCCAGACGATTTCTTGCGAGACAGTTGCAAAATTTTTACATGCAAGGGGAAAACATTTCTTCATTATTTCGGAATTTAAATCAGAACCGTAAGCCATTTTTTTCTGTCTTTTATCCTAGACGTTGGTTTTTTGACATACGGTTCTCTGCCCTTACAATCATGAAGTTTCTGCTGCTGTTGCTGTGCGTGGCTCTGGCCCAAGCTGATCTTGCTCTGATCTACCGATCCAATCAACGTTCTGTTCCGGACAGCTGGATCATTAAAATCAAGGTTAGTCCAGCCAAACAGAGGCAGTCATCATCTGAAATCATTGTGTAACCAATAAATGGACTTTCTACTTGGACACTTATTACCTCTACCTTCTTCGACTGCAAAGGTTACAAAAACGTTATTGTCCCCCTCCGAGGCATTAACCCTGGTCGCAAAAGGACCATTGCTCATGCATGGTGAGGGTTACAATTCAGCTTAAGCACATTTTTTAGACTGCAGTAGCCCCTTGGCTTGCCACGTCACCTTTGCCGTATGTCAAGTGGCACAAGAATTTGTGCTTTCGTATTTTGTTTCCCATTGTAGGATTCCGACCAGCTGGACCAGGTTGCGGAGGACATTATCAGCCGGTTCTCCAGAATGCGTCTCCCAACTCCTGCAATGACTAAGATTCGTAATCTCGTGCCTGTGCTTACAATGAAGATCCCAGCATTCCTTCTTGAAGAGGTATCATAAATGCTTGGGTCTTTTTGCCATTTAAATTGGATGTTGGAAACTATCATTTCGTGTGCTTATTTACATAAGTCGTGTGCGAGAACATGTTAGTCTTGGTAGGAGACATTACCTCAGTACTAGTAATGGAAGTGCGCGTGCAGTTGCAATCTGCCATCAACACGGATGTTCACAATAATGTACGAAACAAATTCCTGCGGAACGTTGATTGCTCATAAGCCTTAAAGTAAAAATCACATGTAGCTGAATTTCTTTACCGCCAATCTGCTGTAGATCCGCTCCATTGACGGCATCGAGTATATCGAACAAAACAAAATCGCTACACTTGCTGCCACTCAGTCCAACCCGCCATGGGGCCTCGACCGTATTGACAGTCGCTCGGGAAGGGATTATTATTATACCTACAATCCCAGCGGTGAGTTAAGCCTAAAAACGGGAAAGAGAGATTAAAATGATATCCAAACTTTGATTATTTATTACAAAGAAAATCAATGCATCTTTTTAGTGAGCTATCTTTAGCGGTTTATTGCTCCCAGTGAGAGAGGTTTTATGGAATCGGCCATCAAGAGTATTTGAGTGGAAGAAAAGCCGAATTGAAATCTTTATTTTGACGAATACGAATACAATAATTATCTCCAAAAAATTAGCTGTATGGTAAACAAAGTATCGAAGTTGCTTTTTTACCAATGAAGCAGATTGAACCTTTGTTGAAAATATGTATAGGGAAATCAAGCAAACGAGGGCATGTCCATTTACTTGACCTTGGCTTGACATTACTCAAGACTCTATGGGTAGCAGCTACTGCCACTCTAATGAACTCGTGTGCAGGTTTATTTATTTATTTATTCCATTTCTTTACCAGGGTATTCCCAAACAATTACAAACTGGTTTCCATTGGCGCCCTGCGACCATTACAAATTAATTTTAAAAAATAGAAACGCACGACGAGAAGTAAAATTGACAAAAACGACAAACATTAATATTTACAAATACAGACCACTGAAATATCATGTGAACATTTAAATAATCAAAGGCATTATAAAAAATACTGATCACGGATGGGCAAAAAACCCTATGGGAAAAAAGAACAGAGTAATATTTTGACATATCAAATTGGTGAAGACAACCGTAGCGGGCTGGGTTGACATCGAGAGTTTGTCTTAGCTCTCGTTCCCTGCCGGACATAGGCGATGCATTGCAAATACATTGACGAAAGAGATCACCTTTACCTGCTTCTAAGGCGAAACAGTTTCGAGAAATTTTCTAATTTTTTGCTCAGGATAAAAAGTGAAATTCTGCTTTCCTCTTTGTCTGAAACGGGTAGCACTTTGCTGTGGCACCACTTCTGTGAAACGCATTGACCATACCTTGTCCGATGTCCCTGGTTTCCCTTTCCATTGAATGGACCTTTTACCTTATCTGTTAGTCCAAGGAAAGGGGGTGAATGTTTACATCGTGGATACCGGGGTCCAAACCGACCACACGGCCTTTGGCGGGAGAGCCTCTGTGATTTACGGGAAGGAAGACGACCACGGCCATGGAACTCACTGCGCCGGCACGGCAGCGGGTAACTACTTTGGGCTGGCTCGTGAGGCTAATATTTTCAGTGTTAAGGTGTGCAGTCCATTGTGCCCGTTGGGCACGATTATTGATGGTAAGTCCGTCGCCAATTTAGGGAGAGAGCATACTTATAAAAGAAAACTTGAAATTTCGATTGTTAATTAGGGTGCACATGGTAACAGTATCTATGCGGCAAGCAGTTCGGATGAAGCTGGTTCCTTCATGAAAACATGGTGTTCTTTTCATTCAAGGATTTAACGCTGTGCTTTCACACGATGGTGGTAAAGGTGGAGTTGTGTCTGTATCTATCGGTGGTTTCAGCAACGCCCCTTCTATCACCACTGCTGTCAATAACCTCTGGAATAACGGCTACCTCGTGTCTTACGCTGCGGGCAATGACAATGACGACACCTGTAATGTACATCCACAAAATGGCAACAACGTGAGTTTTCAAAGAAGCATTCTCTAGCTATACAGTTCAGTAACAGATGAGAAAATGTTGAAGTAGTGGGTAATAGTCACACTATATGTAATGCACGCACTCTTTCATGTTTTGCGAGTAGCATAGATGACTTCATTTAGCTATTTTTCACTCGACGGTATAACCGTGCCATGTGACGCCAAAGTTCCATGACCAATATTAAATATGCCTTGTGAAAGTCAACGCCGGTCTGCTGATCACCAGAACGACAGTTAAAATAATGGCAATTTACCGGTACCCAGTGTGTTAATTTATTATCTTTGCACTTCAGCTCATTGTTACAGCAGCTTCGGACGACATAGACGAGCGAGCATACTTCTCAAATTGGGGCTCGTGCGTCGATATCTTCGCGCCCGGCGTGGGCATCCTGAGCGCTGGCTACAGCAAGACTATCAATTACGATGTTGCAATCAAGACTGGCACCTCAATGGCTTGTCCTCATGTGACAGGTACGATGGGCTTTGAATTAAAATCGGGTTCTCCCGTCAGATTTGTTTGAAATTACAGCAGGCTGTAAATGTTGGGGTATTTTTGCATCAAAGAGATGTTGAATATCCTTGTTCTCTGACTCTAACCTATTCTTCCAAGATTTAAAAGGGTGCTGAATTGTTAATACCGGTACTTTTTGCAGTCCAACAATATTGTGCTTTGTCACAACCAGTCCGTGTATTATCGACCTTTACCGTTTACATTTACAGGTGCGGCAGCTCTTTACTTCGGTAAGCAAGGTAGCAGTGCCACGCCCTCATCGGTGAAGAACGCCATACTAAACGATGCTACCAAAGACGTCATCACCGATACCAAAGGCACTCCTAACCGACTTCTTTATGTCAATGTAAGTGTCCCCCGTAAACTCACACTGTCTGGAAGGACTGTTCGTTCATTAATGTTAGAATGGCAATTTTTAACTTAGCTGCGGTTGCATATGAAGGAAAAGATACGTTTTCCTCTGTTGGGAACCGTTCTCTGCTATTTCTTCCGACTAAACTTCTCTTCTTTGCATGTCTGACCTTCATGGTTTCCCCTCAACGGTCAGCGTACTGTAGCTTGTGAACTGTACATCTCAACCTAAAACCAGTTTAACAAATGTATATTGCTAATGTTCCCCCTTGTTTGTTTATAGTTCTAAACGATGAGCTTAGCCGTTCTCTACGTGCCAGAGAAAGACGAACCGACCAACTATCATTTCCGACTGTGTTAAACTCTACCAGTAGTCTACTCTTACACAAAACGTGAATTTTCCTTTTAAAATTCAATTCTGAAAATTACATTAATGGTTTCAAATTTCTTTTGCACTTTATGCATTTTATTCAAAGCATTCGAACCGTTTCAAATACAATTGTGCGGACATATTTTGTGCCTGAGAAATTTTAGCACAAGAAAGGGCAACACTGTATTTCATTAAAGTCTACTCAAGGATCTTATTACAATTTATTTTTTCCTAAATCCCTCTTCTTTCAGAGAAGTTTAAATTTGAATTTTCAAGTTTTAAAGAAAGTGAAAGAAGTCCTCGGTGATTTTTTATGGTATTTGCCTATAATTACCAAATAAAACATTGACAATGTCACTGTCATTTTTTAATTTGAATGAATAAATGAATTTCTTTTCTCTTGCAGAAACATAAATATCGAAATGACATATACGTGTAATTCTTTTGGTTTCAAGTCAAGCAAAATGTCTTTCAAAATATGAAGTTCATTGATCCGAAAAGACGATAAGATTTAAGGGAATCACAATATACGTTTGGATACCTGAGCTTGATCCCAAGCCGTGTTGGAATTAATAAACTTTCAGTCATGATGGACTTCAGAACCTTATTGGATTGATTAATTTTAATCCTAAACACCGACTAGTTAATCTTCAAGCTACAGACCATCGGGCGATCGTACACCAAATGTTTGGGTTGACGAAAATTATTTCATTTTAATAAGACAAACCCTCGGCTGTATAACATTAAGTGTTTGTACTATTGAACCTTCAAACCATCAAACAGATTCAAGCTAGGTGAGACATCATGGACTAATTCGGCAATCATATATTTAAAATCCTTCACTGCAAAGACACCTCGCTTATACGCACAGGTGGTACGCGCGCCCTAAAGTCGAGCTTGGTACTACTTTTTTAGCGTGAGTGTTGCACCACTGAATGAAGTGAAGCCTGGATACCACACTGCGTGTATCACTGAAAATTCAGTCTACTGAGACGTCTTCAATTTGCCCTACACGATGGAGCTGGATAAGCAAACGGGCTATCACCTACGGTCAGGTGACATTGCTACAGTGGAGACAAATAAACATGCTATCATTATCTTTGTCGTCATGCAGTCTCTTTCTCACCAGGAGTTTGTGTTTAAAAGTTGATATTCTAGCTGATAGCTAAAGTCAAGAGATAAGCCTATTTTCTAGCGAAATTTCAAACGGGCTGATCTTCTTTTTGTCAACTGTTTTGTAAATTATTGTCAACCTGATATCAGTGATAATTTCTTTTGAATTTTGCGATAGCGTAGAAATTGTTGCCAAGTAACAGTGACGTTTGAAACAGAAATTAGTCCAGTTGAGTATTTCACTCTTTTTAACTAGGCCTATATTACAGCCAGAGTTACATTTTGTTTCTCTGTTTACTTTCTGACATTTAGCGTGACAAGAAGTATGTGTTTAGTGCTTTTAATTATGTTCACACGCTGAAGAAAAAGGACTTTTACGTAAAACGTAAACTTAAAATTGAATATCCGGTTTTAAAATGGGACTGTAAACCTTATTTTGAAATGACTTGGTTGTTTAAATTATGTCTTACCATGCCCATTCAAGCTAAGTTCTTGTGAAATCGTCGAGGCATCGTTTCTAAGAATTTAGCCTTGGTCAAGGCGTTCAGCATGGCAGTGCACACCTGCAAATCAGCAAATATGCAAATCAGCTGAACCAGGACGTCCTGGCAGGTGCGCGCTGCGCGGGCGCTGCGCAGGCGCTGAGCTGCGACGAATAACCAACGCCTTGACCAAGGGTACTATGAATGCTGCTCATTTTTTTAAAAGAAAACAATGCTCCGTACTTATTTAAATTTTTATTAGGTAAACAAGATAAAAGTTTTCTCAAAAGTTCTCAAATTCAAAGAAGTTCAAGAACCAACTTCAGCTTAGATGTTTCGAGCCATGTATTTCACTGGACGAACAATTACTCGCAATACAAATTCTCTTCTGCGTCACTTTAGTGTCGGTTGCTAAGCAGTTGAAGGTCTACAAACATTCAAGTAGTCGTGGCTTGCAAGCGGAGCGCACTCGCTCGTGCAGTCTCACCGGGGAAGCTGGTAGGAATGATGCTGGAGGGGCCCACTGTGATTACCAGGGTGTGACTGGTCGTGCCTTGCGCCACTCAGCTATGATCGGATGAGAGGTAACGCGATCGAAAACCGCCTTCAGCTTGGGAAACTTGGCCAAGGAGTCGGGGAAATAAACATCGGCTGTCTCCACCATGGAGACAAAATGGATGTCAGCGACACTCAACTGCATGTGTCGAAAAAAATCATCACACATTCATCAGCACAAGAATTGGTGAATGCACGAGTCTTTTACTTATCCTAGTATTGTAAACATCTTTAAACTTTGCCTAAGTATGTTAGGTAGGTCCCGAAACAACGACAGTATTTTTGAAAGAAAAGCTGAATTCTAACCATGTTCATTTCAAAAAGTCATTATGAAAATGTCCTCTGTTTATTAATGCATACCCCGTGCCCCTTCTTTGCTAAATATGCTGAGTAAGTTTAGTGTAACTTTGAAATCATGTTTGGAAAGGACATGGCATAAATATTCATTGCACCTCTCGGAGAACCCTGAATTAAATAGGAGCTCGAAGACTGGTGGCTGTATTGTTGACAAATAAGTGGCATATCTCTGCGTATTCAAGTGTAAAGGCGTGCTGTAGCGCGTAATTCAACACTTCATTCCAACACATGCCAACGTAAGAGGAAGGTCTAAGCAGATTGTTTTGTCCGTAGTGTCTCCCTTTTCTAGAGTTCAGTCATGTTCACTGTAAAAGCACATTTCTTATCGCGTAGCCTACACTTCCGTTGGTGTTCAGCTGCTCACGACCCCTGTTACTGCGGAAGAACACTCCGGTGAGTTGAGTATTTTGTGTGGCAGGACACACTTGCCACGAGTTGTAATATTGTCTCTTTTTATGATGTATTGCTAGCATTAAATTACCAATTTTCACTTTGAATGTTGCTCATATAATTGAGTTTAGTTCACTTTATATACCGTTAGAATTTGTTGGAACATTTGTTTTTTCTCTACTGTTAAGATTCATTACACAAAGCCAGTCACTTGTCTTGCTCCTCTTGCTCGAAAGCCATTAACTAGTTAAACACTTTCTTTATCACAATACCATCCCTCGAGTACGTATGGTCACTCCCCCCCCCGCTTAAATTTGCTTTTTTGTTCAGGGCCGAACACTGAACGCCAGCTCAGCTTTTGTGATGGAAACAAGATGTCTGATGTAATTCTTTTGTTATTCAGTATCCAATGCGGCTGTAGCCTTTTTCAAGCAGTGAAATACATTGATTTCCTCTGTACCTGTAAAACGAATCATAATATTCTTGCGTCCGGAATTTTCCCAAGTATTAGAAACAAATAAAGGTGAAGTCAGCGCTGAACTAAAGGCCATCCTTATGCTCATTAGTTGGCTACATTTCTTTCAAGCCATGTTCAAGAAATTAAATTTGGTTCACACTGTGATTTTATTCACACTGTGATTTTATTCTGTCACAGCAAGTCATTAGATAACAAACTCGAGTTGATAGTCGAATAGACTAAGTATATCGCGCGTATGGTTGCAGGCCAGTAACTAAACTGCCACAGCCAACAGTGTGATAACTGAATTTCAAAAAATCAGGCAAAATATTCACGATTTTCTCAGGCGTTCAAGACGCACATAAAATTAAAGCCCATGTTATGATTTTTCATTTTCTGCTCAAATTGTCATTAATTTTAACTTTTGAAGATATTTTTTCACGGGAAGATCACCCCTAAAATGCAGTCGTGATGCCCCTCGCCATTTTGAAATAATTATGCCTACATCGTTTCGAAAAATAGACGGTTTTCAGGAAAACGTCCAAAATCGCTTTTTCCCAAAGATACCCCCAAAATAGTAGTAAAACTATGCGCATCAGCTTGGAAGCCGCCTGCCTCGATTCAAAGTAGGTAAACAGGATGGGGCTGTTTTGTGAAAGAAATACCCCAAACTACAAACTACCAGTCCCAAATTCGTGACTTATAGAAATATCTCTTGATCCTTCCCGATTATGGCATGTCTTATTGTAAAAAAGTGGGATCACAAAATATTAATGGACATTTGTTCAGAAAT